CAGCACCTGCCGACAAGGTGTTGTTCAGGCTCGACATAGATGACACGTTCTTCAAGGAGCTCGACCAGCTTGACTGCGAGGGCGACGAGAAGGACAAGCTCAAGGAGTTGGAGAGGCAGCTCCGCGAGGCCCAGCAGCTTGTGGAGGGCAAGCGCTCGGATGTGGAGGACTGGCAGGCGCGCATGACGCAGCTCAAGGAAGTCATCTCCGACAGGATGAAGAAGAAGAGGAAGGGCGCCGAGGGCGACCCCGCGGCGGCCGCGCCCCAGGAGGGGCAGGGCCAAAGCGCTGCGGCGAGCAGCCCAGCAGCAGCCCCCGCGGCGCCTGAGGAGTCCACCGAGGACAACGAGAAGAGGATCAAGGAGGCGGCAGCACGCATCTCGGCGGTCAAGCTGGAGGCGGCCAGGGCAGCCCGCGAGGCAACCCAGGCCGAGCCTGCAGCGGCGGCGGCCGCGGGGGGCGTGCCCCAGTGAGGCTCGCAGTCGAGTGGGGTGGCATCGCCGAGTCCGTCGACTGGTACGGCAACTCCAGCTTCGACTGCATGTGCGGCTGACCAGTGTTCAGCCAGGGATGAGACCAATGTGTGTTCCATGTTATTTGCCAACATTACTGTTGCGGGGCCGAAGGCGTGGGATTACATTGTCTCCGATCAACATCCAGTTTTCAACTATGTACAGCTTGTGGAGGCGCATGTTGACTCCAAGAGTATGGCCGAGTGGCAGAAGAAGGCTCGCCAGGCGGGCCCGAGGCTTCTCGGCAACCCAGCTCGACCCAACGGGCACCCAGTCCAGGCAGGTTTCGAGCATCGTTCCAACGAGGGTGGTGAGTGGATGCTTGCTCAGGGTCATCGTAGTATTTCGACATTAGCAAGTGCATGGTCTCAGTTGTACGCTCCTGGGCACACTTCGCTCGACGGGTTCCAGGCGACTCTTGTGGACATGAAGGGCTTTCTTTCATCGCGGTGAGCTTCTACGGCTTCTCGGGGGAGGGCTGGTCGGCTCGCAACTCGCAACGTTTCGCTAGACTTGGAGCTATGTTACGCAGTCTGCAGCCCCCGTGGATCGTGATGGCCGACTGGAATATGGCGCCAGATGACATTCGTAAGCAAGGATTTGTTTCGAAGGTAGATGGCGTTGTGATGTCTGCATCTAATACCAGAGTCACGTGCACTGCCAGTTGTAAGAGCGCAGGTACTGAGCGGGATTTCGCTCTGGCCAGCGCCAGCTTTATTCCTTATGTAATTGATCTGGTGGCAATCACTGATGTGCCCTGGAAAACACATTGTGGTCTTCTCTTGAGGTTCCGTGGACAGGGAGCCCAATTGCTCACCAGATCCCTTGAGTTTCCGTCCAAGCTGCCTCGGGTTCCCCGCCCTTCCCCCCTCCCCTCCCCTGGCCCTAAATCTTCTCTTGCAAAGAAGAAGCGCGTGGTTCAGGTAGAGTGTGCACGTGATAAAGTGCGTGCGGAGTGCGAGGAACTGTTTGGGGATGTGGTTGGGGACCCAGGCTCTTCGCCCCCTGGCGGGACAGGCTCGCAGGATTTTGGCGAGGAGCCGCCCTCCCATCCCAGTGCACCTCGAGTCTCAGCGGAGCGAAGTCCCGAATAAGACCCCTTCCGCCGATCCTTTTGAAGGTTTTGAGTTTCTCGATTTTTTCGACGAGGAGGAGGGCCCCTGGGCCAGCGAGGGAAACTTCGGGGCGCGTGACAGGGCTGCAGAGCCTTCCGACCCTGGGAGTCTGGGCCCTGGAGTTTCGCCTGCCAGTTTAAACCCTCCTGGTCCCAGGCCCTCGTCTAGCTCGTCAAGCATTGAATATCCCCCCCGTGGAGCGATGGCAGTCTCAGCAGGCTGGTGATGCTCAGAATTCGGTTCCCCCCGGCCCCTCGGCAACCCCAGTCAGTAATGCTGATGCTGCTGCTGATCCGCTCCCCTCTTTTTACATTCCGTCATCGTGTTGGCTCAAGCATCGTTCTGATGTCGGCTTCATGTCAGCCCCCTGTGCCTGGCCAGCAGCCAGGGACTCCCTCGCTTTCCGCGCAGGAGCTCGCCATGTGGAGGCCCTCAGCGGTAGATACGCGGCTTGGGTTTCAACGCTGGAGCTGACTATCAAAGGCCATCATGAACAGGACATGCGAGGCCCACGACGAGCGGATGGTCCTTCCTTTGTGGTTCGCGAAGTACATATGCCCGAGAAGTCACGGGCTATGCCGCTGATGGACCAAGCAACATCATGGTGGGGCAGGGCCACGACTATCCTCGAGAGAGCGCTCAAGCACACCGAGCGCCAGAACGGGGCCAAGCAATGTTCTGCCATCCAGGACGCGTGCGACCGCCTCACCACGGATTACCCCACTACAGCTCACGTTTTCCTCTCGGAAAGGTGGGATCGGCAAGATTGGATCAGTCTTCTCTCACGCCCGCTGGGCGCAGGCATCCCGCAGCTCAAGAACATGATCGAGGTGGCCACCCGCGCCACCAAGCGCGCCAGGGGCAAAGCACTTCGCATCTCTCTGCAGGAGT